CTCTTTCCTCAGTTACAAACGTTGTTGTCTTAAGTATAGTACTTGTTGTTTGCAGGTGTCTCCTTACTTTCTTGCACTCCTTTTTGGCCACCTACCTTCCTACTTCAGGGAAAAGCTGGGACACTGTGTCTACCCTATGCATGCGCCTCCATCACCCACCCTTCCAAGGAAAGATTACCACAGTAACAGGACTTTTGCCTGTGATTCATCCATTTGGCAATTCTGCTTATTCTCCCACGCTGGCCAAAGGAGGCAGAAAAGGCTTTTTTCCCCAGGCACAAGCCTAAATGTACTTCAGGGCACAAGGAAAGGCTCAACTTCAATATGTCTCAACTTAACTCCCTTCCAGGAGTGGGCCATTAAATTCTTGGACCAACAAAGCCTCCCCTTCAGTTGAGACAGGGCTTAATCTACTCTTACGTCGATCAGGAGTGTGAAAAAGGTCATGATTCAATTTTTACAATTATGCTGGCAAAAAACTAATGTAGACACAGCTATACCAGCAAAAGAGTTCGTTTGTTGCTACAGCTTCTGTTCAGTGAAACTTTGCAGCGAAGTGGCATCTGCACTAACTACACTGACAAACCTTCTAAATGTAGATATGCCATATTGCACTCTCTGCCTCAACACAACCCTAAACCTGGCCCTCTGGGAAAGCTTGGGAGGGTCAATTTTATATAATTATATGAGGACTTTTCTTCTTCCAGGGTCTTTGCTGAAGGAATGTTTCAGTCTTTGGTATCTTTTACTCATCAGACTTCAGGTGACTTCGAGAATAGGATGAAATGTATTTTGGAATGTTTTAGCCAATGGACTTTTATTAGTCAATATGATTCTGCTTACACAGTTTAAAATTCTAGTATAGGCAGATCAAGCAGTATGTTAACATGTTAGCTGGTCAAAGGGAACCCTGGGGCAAATGTATAAGCAAAAATTTCTTGGCTAACATGGTCTTAAAATAACTTTTATTTTAATCTTGACAGAGCCAAAAAAGTGTGATAGGTAAACTTCGTTTAGCATACTGGCTTGCTGAGAACTTAAGTCATTCTCACAATTCCTGATGATTTGATTCAGTTATGTCTTATTTCAATACTATATCTTATTTCATTTAAAAACACTCACTAGACATAGCAGAAACTATTTAAAAATATTTCTAAACTTAAGGACAAGAGTAGAGATAAATTTCAATGGCTCAGTGCACACTGTCCTCTATCTGAAAAATTGATTGTTCATGCATGAATAGCTACACTTGTAGTTTATTTAAGAAATATGGTGATAGGTACCATATATTAAAGATCAGAATCTGACCTTATAGCACCTCTCTCACTATCAGTTATGTGCCATGAATTAACATATTTTTTAGGTAAGGAATAAGACAGACACATTCAATTTCTCTCTCCTTGCAATGAGAAGCTGGAGGGGAATGATTTTAGAGTGTATAGAGATTAGTAACTCTTTAAAACTTATTCTTTGTGAAGGAACTTATTATTCACAAAGTATAGGAAAAAGAGTAAGGAATTGGGAAGGATATTAAGAGTAAGAATTTAGGAAGACTATTAAAACTGTCCTTTTGCCAAGATTTAGTATTTGTTAAAGTTCACTTTTTTCACAGATTTGTCCCATGTAAGACTTACTCTTATTTTCCTTTTACAACTTCAAAACCAGTTCCAAGAAGCCAGCCTAGAAACAAACATGTTGCAGCCCTGCAGAATTTTACTACAATACTTTTTTAATGCAACCATTTCCTGCTTGTTAAAGGTGCCAGGCTGCAAGCTGGCCCTGAAAGCTAAGGCTTAGTTAATGCACATGTTAGATATGCCATGATATAGATCAGTGAATGTGGAGCCTTCCCTATATTGCCAAGACAACTATAACCTGAAATAAATATACACTAATAGAAGGTGAGATGATGATGTAGTATACATGGTCATTGAATTCTCAGCACTATTGACAAAATTGCCAACAAAATGTAAATTACAGCATCAGTTATGTCGATACCTGTTTTACTATGACCAAGATTACCAATTACTTTCACAGGCAACAACTGGCTGTCATCACTTGGGGCATGGGCCTTACCAGAAACTGAGTATGTTACATCCAGTTTGTGGTGGACAGCCATTCTGCTCCAAGTTGTCTCTCAAAGCAAACTGAAATACTGGCAATTTTCAAGTCCTTGTTAACACACCAATCATCAATTCTGTTTATAAGAAGGGAAGTGGAAAGAGGCAAGCAGTTTTACCATGTGTCTAGCAATGATACGGAGACACCCAATTTGTAGTTTTTACCTTCACCTCAAATAATTCTACCGCAAACTGCTATTATAATCAATTGTGTTTATTATGGTAGTTTGTGCATTACGAAATAAACTTCATCCCTCGAATCACAAGTCTGGATTTTTTTTTCCCATTTCCCCAACAATTCATGCTTCCCTCTGTCAATAAAATATTATGGTAAATACACAGAAAAATGTCATTTCCTCTCATGTAAATTTGTCCACCTCCTTCTGCCAACATCCTGGGTACTGACATTACGCAGGTTCACATTCCAAATATCTTTTGATACAATTAAACATTTTCTTTGACCTTTTCTAGGGTCAGCTAGCAAAGGATCAACTGGCGGTTTTAGAACACGTACATTAGTAGGTCAGTCTCATTTGGCCTGACACTGACCTTCCTTTGCTTCAGATGCAAGGATCTGGACTGAATCTCTTTTTACTTGGATTACAGTTCAGATTAATTAAACAAAATATATGCACACACAGAGAAAAATTCAGAAAGGATAACCTGCATGCTTTTACTCTGAGGTAGGTAGTTATTTCCTTACATTATGTTATATGTTATTATTTTATTTCCCTATATTATGACAAGTAGGCTTCCTTTCTTAACACAAAAAAGAAAAACCAGGCCCCCTCCAACACACACACACACACACACACACACACACACACAGATACAGTGTTTTTGTTTTTAAATGTACAGTACTAAACTTACCATATCACTCTGAGGTTGCGAAACCACAATTGGCTGGCCTGTATCACACGTCTTTCTTATATTAACATCCAATGGAATGTCCCCTGTATTAAAAACAATAAAATGTACAATATACAATAAAAATACAAAGACTTAATATTTCTTAAATGTGCTTCATTTAACTACCCCTGAAGCTACTTGAAATCAAATTCCAGTTCAGGATATCCTTTGAATTACTCAATCTCCAAAAATAGCATTAAAAATGAAAATTAGCTGCAGCCGAGTTCTTCATATCCACAATTATTAACACCATGTAAAAGCTGGACTTTTTCATTTTCTGGATAACTAGGAGTGTGTTTTGTAGTCTTTCGTAATGACAAAGAGATTGCTTACTTCCTGGTTGTAAGTGCAGGGAAAAAAAATGAAACACTAGTCATTTTGGTTTCATGAAAAATAAGAATATTTCTTTAAGTGTTTGGAAAATATTTATTATACAACATATTGTTCAGCATATTTTTAGACTGTATATATCACGTCTCACTCTTTAACCATGTTTTGATATTTTAATCACTATTCAAAGACGTATTTAAATACTTAACTGCCAAACAACAAATTGTGTTACTGCTCTTAGTTGGCCACTGACATAATTAAATATTAACTAGGTATTCAGCTCATTCTTCTTCTAAATAGAAATCTACTGTATATTCTGCTTTTTTAATCAGCAGGGAACTGTCACAAGAGAAAGAGGTTTTATGAAGAAAAATCAAATAGTAGCCCTTTGGATATCTTCTCTTCTGATTTTTTTCAGCATTAAAATAGCAAAATGTTTAAAATCCTATAATTACTACATCACAAAACACATGAGAGAATGCACAAAAAGTGATAATGTGTAATAATCATCTTAATTATACTGCACACTACAGGCCAGACTACTTTTGACTTGGCCTTGTCTAAACTTAATCGCATTTGGACTTAAAAATGGAATTGAGCCACTCTATTATATATGAAGATTTAAGTCTGCCTTCCCCCAATATACTCAGCATTTATTCTTTCAGTGCAGAATAAATTTTCCTCAAATTTACAAGTAAATCCATTAACTTGAGTTCAAAATTATTAAAAATTGTCCCTTTAATAAATTGGGAACTAGATTCTTTCTTTAACTTGGCAATGGAATTAACTAGCCCTTCAAGTTTCTCACATAATTAAATCTTACCAATATTTTGTACATAAACCACATTTTGAAAATATTTTCTCTAGGATTCACGGTAATTTTTGGAGCTATTTCTGATACCTAAAAGTCACTTCTTCAGTTGCAGCTGAATAATAATGGTTTTCTTAAGGTAATTCTATTTACTGCTCTATTTCAAAATGGGACCTGCCTCCTATTGTCAAAAAGGAACAAGAACTGAATTTACTAAGTATTCAAGCACCTAATAAAGGACATAACTGCACAGTGATATTTACAGAAAGCACCTGAGTTAGAAAAGAAAGTACCTGCAAGAGAATCAGGGGATCTGCTGCTTTACCATGGGTAAAAACCAGGAAGATAAAGAAAGATAAAAATGCTGCTGCTGAAAAGATGGAGTTTTTTTCTTACTATTCTCTGCTACAGTGAAGAACTAGCAAGGTACACACAGCCATAACAATTCTACAATTATAACAAGGATACTGATATAAACTGTTATGATGCATCTGGTTAGTCCACATAATTCTGAAATAGTACAAGTGCAACAAAACAACTCCAACTTTATCCCTACTTCATTCAGAGCTATTTAGCTAACTTGTATCACAATAAGATCATACAGATTAACATTGGAACAGATGTAATTGGATGAGCAGCTCCAGGCTCCCAAGTGTCAACTGCCCTCCTATTTCAAAGCAGTTAAAAAGTCTGTTTGTATATACCAGTGATTCTCAACCAGGGTACTGCCTCATCATGAGGTGCCATGAGATCCTTTTAAGGGTGTTAACAAACTATATAAGCACTGCTGTGTGTGCAGAAGCCTACACATGATTCACAAGATAAACCCAGAAATGTCAAACAGGAATCCATAATATCTCATTAATTATATTAGTCACATATGTTTTTCCATTTTGTTAAAATTATTTCCAGTCATATTAGTTTTATGCACTGTAATAAATTAGTTTTTGAAATGGTGTGCCACTAAATTCAGAATAGTTATGGAAGGGTGTCTTGAGTCTAAATAGGTTAAGAATCATTGGTCTACACCCTTAGAGACTCAGGTGGTGTACAGATGCTAATTTCTACTAGAAGAAAATTCTTCTAGTAGAAAAACAGCCCAGGAGCTGGACCGTGCAGATGTTCCTCTGGTTCGATACTGAAGAGTTTCACAGGCAAGCTCTCCAGCCATCAGGCACAAGTGGGTTGCTCTCTGGACCACACCCTTACGGGAGCCCATTAATTGACAGCCTGCCTTCTCCCCTGCCTATGAAGGAGGCAGGCTGTCAGGTGGCACATAACAGCTCCTGAAATGCATGGCCCCACAAGAATGCCATAGATGGCCAGGGAGGGCTTGGTCCCCAGACGAATGCCCCCATCACACCAATCAGATGACTGGCAGACTGGGGCATACTCCTGTAGTACCATTCCAATTCCTCCCCTCATCCCCTCACAGAAGAATACGTTCCTTGCACTACTCCAGGCTGACCCAGAGGAGTGCAGGGACTTGACAGGGGTGGGAGGTACTCACTTGCTGTGACAAGGCTTTGATGCAGGGGCATGGTAAGCTTGCTTTTCCCTGCACTCCTCCAGGCTGACCCAGAGAGATGCATGGCAGTAAGGCTCCTGAGTCACCCGGGCAATGTGGGCAGAAAGGAGAAGCCAGAAGGGATGGAAGCCAGGTGTGTGGAGGCTTTCCCCAAGCCAGACTCCTAGTCCTTTCAGCCTTTAAATCAGGGGTGTCCAACCTTTTTGAATGTGGGGCCGGATCACAAACTTTTTATCACCCAGTGGGCCAGCGAGCCATGTTGAAAGACATCACGGGAAGTGGTATCATATCAGGAAGTGATGTCACGTGACCTTTGACACCAATGAAGTTGCAGGGGTTGACATGGCATGCATGCCTGGGTTGACATGGTGCTGCAGGACCCGCTTAGCTACAACTGGGTTGACCTGGTGCTAGAGAAGCTGCGGAACCAGGCTGGGGTTAACCTGGGGCCCACCCAGCCTGCCAGTGCCATGCCCGGGTTGACATGGTGCTGCAGGACCCGCCTGGGCAGAACCAGGTCAGTACCAGCCAGGAAAAGCAGCATGCAGCTGAAGCCGGCTTCCCATGTGCTGCTGGGGACGGGAGGAGGCCGGCCGGGTCTGCGCCGGCCAGAAGCGGCAGCGGAGCCGTGTGCTGCTCGGGACTGACCGGTGCAGGCTCGTCCCGTCCCAAGTGGCACACGTGCTCTGCCGCCGCTTCTGCCGGCCCAGGCGTCCCCAGCAGCACATGAGAACCAGCCCCCTTGGGGCCTCGCAACCACGTGGCCGGGTCCGGAGAGCCACATTGCCCGGGGGGAGACTGGCTGGGGGAGCAGGCACCGCCTTCCTGTAGGGTAGGGCAGGGCAGGGCAGGGCAGCGGAGCTGGCTTGAAGGGGTGGGGAGGTGAGGAGGCAGGCGCGGGCCGGCACTGCCAGCAGCCGCTGCTTGGCCTCCTGCGCGGGGCCGCCCCCTTGGGCCCTGCAGGGGTAAGCAGCTCCCCTCCC